GAACTGCCTACAAACAATAGACAAAAGGTGATGAGAAAGAAACCCTACAAACAATAGACCCTACAAACAATAGACAAAAGGTGATGAGAAAACCCTACAAACAATAGACAAAAGGTGATGAGAAATCCCTACAAACAATAGACAAAAGGTGATGAGAAATCCCTACAAACAATAGACAAAAGGTGATGAGAAATCCCTACAAACAATAGACAAAAGGTGACGAGAAAAAGCATACAAACAATAGACAAAAGGTGATGAGAAAACCCTACAAACAATAGACAAAAGGTGGTAAGAACAGCCTACAAACAATAGACAAAAGGTGATGAGAAAAAGCATACAAACAATAGACAAAAGGTGATGAGAAAAAGCATACAAACAATAGACAAAAGGTGATGAGAAAACCCTACAAACAATAGACAAAAGGTGATGAGAAATCCCTACAAACAATACCTACAAACAATAGACAAAAGGTGATGAGAAAAAATACAAACCCTACAAACAATAGACAAAAGGTGATGAGAAAACCCTACAAACAATAGACAAAAGGTGATGAGAAAAAGCATACAAACAATAGACAAAAAGTAAAGAGAAAACCCTACAAACAATAGACAAAAGGTGATGAGAAAAAGCATACAAACAATAGACAAAAGGTGATGAGAAAACCCTACAAACAATAGACAAAAGGTGATGAGAAAACCCTACAAACAATAGACAAAAGGTGATGAGAAAACCCTACAAACAATAGACAAAAGGTGATGAGAAATCCCTACAAACAATAGACAAAAGGTGAGAAATCCCTACAAACAATAGACAAAAGGTGATGAGAAAACCCTACAAACAATAGACAAAAGGTGATGATACAAACAATAGACAAAAGATGAGAAAATCCCTACAAACAATAGACAAAAGGTGAATAGACAAAAAGAGAAAAGCATACAAACAATAGACAAAAGGTGATGAGAAAATCCTACAAACAATAGACAAAAGGTGATGAGAAAAAGCATACAAACAATAGACAAAAGGTAATGAGAAATCCCTACAAACAATAGACAAAAGGTGATGAGAAATCCCTACAAACAATAGACAAAAGGTGATGAGAAATCCCTACAAACAATAGACAAAAGGTGATGAGAAATCCCTACAAACAATAGACAAAAAGTAAAGAGAAAACCCTACAAACAATAGACAAAAGGTGATGAGAAAACCCTACAAACAATAGACAAAAGGTGATGAGAAAAAGCATACAAACAATAGACAAAAGGTGATGAGAAATCCCTACAAACAATAGACAAAAGGTGATGAGAAAAAGCATACAAACAATAGACAAAAGGTGATGAGAAAACCCTACAAACAATACAAAAGGTGATGATACAAACAATAGACAAAAGGTGATGAGAAAACCCTACAAACAATAGACAAAAGGTGATGAGAAATCCCTACAAACAATAGACAAAAGGTGGTAAGAACAGCCTACAAACAATAGACAAAAGGTGATGAGAAAACCCTACAAACAATAGACAAAAGGTGATGAGAAATCCCTACAAACAATAGACAAAAGGCATACAAACAATAGACAAATGAGAAAACCCTACAAACAATAGACAAAAGGTGATGAGAAATCCCTACAAACAATAGACAAAAGGTGATGAGAAATCCCTACAAACAATAGACAAAAGGTGATGAGAAAAAGCATACAAACAATAGACAAAAGGTGATGAGAAAACCCTACAAACAATAGACAAAAGACAAAAGGTGATGAGAAAACCCTACAAACAATAGACAAAAGGTGATGAGAAAAAGATGACAAAAATCCCTACAAACAATAGACAAAAGGTGATGAGAAAACCCTACAAACAATAGACAAAAGGTGATGAGAAAATAGACAAAAGGTGATACAAACAAACAATAGACAATAGACAAAAGGTGATGAGAAAACCCTACAAACAATAGACAAAAGGTGATGAGAAAAAGCATACAAACAATAGACAAAAGGTGATGAGAAAACCCTACAAACAATAGACAAAAGGTGATGAGAAATCCCTACAAACAATAGACAAAAGGTGATGAGAAATCCCTACAAACAATAGACAAAACGTGATGAGAAATCCCTACAAACAATAGACAAAAGGTGATGAAAAATCCCTACAAACAATAGACAAAAGGTGATAATAGACAAAAGGTGATGAGAAATCCCTACAAACAATAGACAAAAGGTGATGAGAAAAAGCATACAAACAATAGACAAAAGGTGATGAGAAAACCCTACAAACAATAGACAAAAGGTGATGAGAAAAAGCATACAAACAATAGACAAAAGGTGATGAGAAAAACACTACAAACAATAGACAAAAGGTGATGAGAAAACCCTACAAACAATAGACAAAAGGTGATGAGAAATCCCTACAAACAATAGACAAAAGGTGATGAGAAATCCCTACAAACAATAGACAAAAGGTGATGAGAAAACCCTACAAACAATAGACAAAAGGTGATGAGAAATCCCTACAAACAATAGACAAAAGGTGATGAGAAATCCCTACAAACAATAGACAAAAGGTGGTAAGAACAGCCTACAAACAGCATACAAACAATAGACAAAAGGTGATGAGAAAACCCTACAAACAATAGACAAAAGGTGATGAGAAATCCCTACAAACAATAGACAAAAAGTAAAGAGAAAACCCTACAAACAATAGACAAAAGGTGATGAAAAAGCATACAAACAATAGGACAAAAGGTGATGAGAAAACCCTACAAACAATAGACAAAAAGGTGAGAGAAAAGCCTACAAACAATAGACAAAAGGTGATGAGAAAACCCTACAAACAATAGACAAAAGGTGAAAAAGCCTACAAACAATAGACAAAAGGTGATGAGAAAATACAAACCAAAAGGTGATACAAACAATAGACAAAAGGTGATGAGAAATCCCTACAAACAATAGACAAAAGGTGATGAGAAATCCCTACAAACAATAGACAAAAGGTGATGAGAAATCCCTACAAACAATAGACAAAAGGTGATGAGAAAATCCTACAAACAATAGACAAAAGGTGATGAGAAATCCCTACAAACAATAGACAAAAGGTGATGAGAAATCCCTACAAACAATAGACAAAAAGTAAAGAGAAAACCCTACAAACAATAGACAAAAGGTGATGAGAAAAAGCATACAAACAATAGACAAAAGGTGATGAGAAAACCCTACAAACAATAGACAAACGGTGATGAGAAAAAGCATACAAACAATAGACAAAAGGTGATGAGAAAACCCTACAAACAATAGACAAAAGGTGGTAAGAACAGCCTACAAACAATAGACAAAAGGTGATGAGAAATCCCTACAAACAATAGACAAAAGGTGATGAGAAAACCCTACAAACAATAGACAAAAGGTGATGAGAAATCCCTACAAACAATAGACAAAAGGTGATGAGAAAACCCTACAAACAATAGACAAAAGGTGATGAGAAAACCCTACAAACAATAGACAAAAGGTGATGAGAAAAAGCATACAAACAATAGACAAAAGGTGATGAGAAATCCCTACAAACAATAGACAAAAGGTAATGAGAAAATGCATACAATAGACAAAAGGTGATGAGAAATCCCTACAAACAATAGACAAAAGGTGATGAGAAAAAGCATACAAACAATAGACAAAAGGTGATGAGAATAACCTTTGATATAAGTGATTGCTGATACACATATTTATGATACACAGATTCAAAAGAGAAACTATTAAAATAATTTTATTTTTGAAATTAAAACATGTTGACAGTAGAAATAAACAGTACATGTAATACCAGCATCTTACATAAAAACTCATTCAAATTAGTGAACCTCTCTCTCCCTCTCTCTCTCTTTACCAAACCTTACAGATAAGAAAAGATTCTAGGAACTTTGTCCTCTCTTCAATAGATCTATATCTTTTATCACATTGCTGTGTTAATCATTGAACTTCTCCATTTGTTACACTTGTATTTCTGCAGATAAACTCATGTTATATGACCTATTGTAAACCCAAGACAATAAAATGACATACATTTAGATGTTGTGATCATCATTATGGTGCAACAAAGGGTAATGAAAGAGTTTTTTTTATTTTTTTACCACTAAAATACATTTAACATCCTATCTAACAAGTCAAACCATCATACTTTGCAAGACATACATTTGTAGATGTTGTCAAACCATTCACATCGTCAATCTATACTCAAGATCAGTGAATGAGGATGATTCATTTTGTGCTAAATTCTACCTTTAGTAACGGGAACCTTTTGACTTGGACATAAAATTTTTAAAAAATTATGTAAAGTCTGTGAAAATTTTGCAAAAAAAATGTCAAAAGATTTATAACATGTAGGACTCTGTTTAAAAGTGACAGTGATGGCCTTTAAACTTATCCAACCTGTGGAGCTTATCTTAATCAATCAGTGGCTATAGGACCACAACTGTGATGATAAATAAAACAAGAGGTCCGAGAGGGATCTTGGCGCCCATCATTGTTTGATCTCTATATGCTCTTTGAAAGTTGGATCTTTTTCCTTCTTTTCTCTTCATTGTTTTTGCTCTTAATGATAAGACATTTGAATACTCCTTTGCAAAATTAGCGATGATAATCTTTACCTGCCAAATCTAAAATGGCCATCTGGAAGCCATTTTGTCTCTTCTGATTAGTCCCACAATCAAACAAGCACAAGGAGAGACCAAAGGGTACATACGTATGAAATTTGAGAGATATCCTTCCTAAGAAATAGCAATAACAATCTTGACTAGGCAAAATCCAAGATGGATGCCTGTAAGCAATTTTGTTTTTCTGATAACAAACAAACTTTCAAAGTCCCAAACTTTCTAAACAGGCACAATAGGGGCCAAAAGGGACCTCAAGAAAAGTGATAACAAACTTGCAAAGTATACATGAAATTTGTTTTTTCTAATCAGACCCAAAATCAAAGATCTAGAGAGTAGATCTCAAGAAATAGTGATAACAAACAAACTTTCAAAGTCAAAATCCAAGATGGCCTTCTTTTGGCCATTTTGTTTTTCTGATCAGTTCCAAAATTACAGAAGCACAACTACAGACCAAGGAGAACCTACATATGAAGTTTGAGAGAGATGAATCTCTCTCCCTTTTCAAGAAACAGAGATAACAAACTTCATTGACAAAATCCAAGATGGCATCCTGTCGGCCATTTTGTTTTTTGATCAGTCCCATAATCAAACAGGCACAACTAGGGACCGAGAGGAACCTATATATGCAGTTTGACAAAGATCCTTCAAGTACTTCTCAAGAAATAGTGATTACAAGAATTGTCTACGGACGGACGGACCACATATGCAGAGGGACTTTAATAGCTAACTATCTGATGATGGTGGGCTAAAAAAGTGATAATGAAATTTAAATTTCGGTAACAATCAATGACTTAGGCTTTTGACTGATTACATCATTATTCAAACTTCTAATTTGTACAAGGTACATGTATATTCTAGAAAAAGAATACCTCTCAGACATTTCAAAATCCATCAGTAATTGACTTCCAGAATGATGACAAATAATGTGAGAATTAAGAAATAGAACAATGCTATAGCTAGGAATGTGCTAATATTGAATGGTGTGTAAGTGTGTTCCCGTGCAAGATGTAATATCTTATCACAATGACCACGGAACCCCAACCTTGGCAATAGATCACATTTTTGCAGCATGAAAATTCAAAACATAATACACATATAAATTCATTCATCAAAAACATATGAAACTGAGGGAAATGATTTTGACAGAAATAACATTCTCAACACTTCTTACAGATTATCATGGCTTTAGCTTAACCTAGCTATAGGTCTCTATTTTAAGAGAGTTTCCCAAAGGCAAAGCTGGGACAGTGGAATTAATTACAAATATTTTGAACAGGCATATCAAATAAAAGTTTAAACTGTGCAGTATTTATTGTCCCCATTACATTTGTCAATGCAAATAACTTCTGCTATTATTGAAAATGTGACTGCCTTGTTTTGGAACCTGTACTGTTATCGAGACTATCTTTGAGAGGGCTTTCATGAAGAATTTTATTGGTCAAACAGCACATTCAGAAAAAACGAAATTTGAGTACTAAAACAGCACCAATACATAACTGGGATGTAAACAACATGTTCATTCAATTTCCACAAATAAATTTTCACAGTGATATAAGGATATGTTCAACATTGACCATTGCTCTTTGCATACATCTATCTGGACATGACAATTTTGTATCAGTTGAGAGACATTATGAAAGTAGGATGCACAGCAACTGTACTAAAGAAACCTGAAAACGAGTGAAATGCTGTCATTTAAAACATACAATAAACTCTAGGTAAGAATACAAGTATTGGTCTGATACACCTCACATCCACATATATACACATTGCTTGTCCTCTACCACACCTAACAGTTGCCTCTCCACTCTAACACTTTTCACTCCTGTTATTTTTTCACCACTACAGCACTTTTCAGTTTTCCACGGCCAGCCATTTTTTTGCGCAAAGATTCCCTTTGTAATTCTTCCTCCTTTTCTTCTTTGACTTTCCAGTTTTTAAGAATTTTGTTTCGAAGTTCATGTTCTTGTCTTTCCAAACGATCTTTCTTCCTCTTTCGTGCTTCTAATTTTCTCTTCATTTCTTGTTCTTTGTGTATCTGTTCAAGTTCTATTTCTTTTTTTCTCATTTCTTCTGCTTCCCTCTCATGTTTCTCAAGATCCTCTCTCACCTTGATTTTCTGTCAAGAAGTAAAAACATTTCAATAGTTTTACAGGAAGGATATGGTGATTATTTAGTTTTCGCGTGACAGGTGCATGTCTATATTTCATAGTTGATTTTAATTCATCAGAACAGGCACCTTGCATGACAGCCTTTAAAGTATTATACACCCAGTACTACATATATCTATATGATAATAAGATTTGTAATTAATGCAGTTATCAGAAGAAAAATGTGAAATTTACTGTCCTTATCACTATATTTTACAATAAGTATTATATAAGAACTAGAGACACTGTAATTACACCCTAATATTTCCACAAAATTTCATTTTTGGATGTCACCTTTCTCACCTTAACAGCATTGAAGAGCTCTGACATGAGACGTATCGATTCAAGTTTTCTCTGTGCTATTAGAAATTTTCTCTCCTCTAAAGCAATCTTTAGTTGTAATTTCTTTTCTTCCTCCCTCTTCCTCTTCTGTAAGGCTTTGAGTTTACGCTTTTCTTCTCTACTTTTTCTTCTGTCTTCCTTTTTCTGTACTTTTTCCAAGCGTTTTCTTTCCTTGTCCTCCTCTTCTTCCCTCTTTTTTCTCCTACATTAAAAGTAAAGCATTACAAGTACATATGATCAATAGCAAACCACCAATTATACCAATGCCCTATGAAACCTACTTGCCTACCTGGATTTACATTGCTACATTTGCATCAGAATATTCTAAATGGTGTCTGGAGTCAAGACAAGAAAAGGTAACATCCTCAAATCTGAAGAAACACATTAAAAGAAAACTCGTCAAATACTGAAGTTGTGTATGAACTGTACACAAAAATCTGTTTTTCATAAACTGCTTAATCATCTTGACAAGATATCATATATTACCGTTCTTCTTCCTGTTTTCTCTCTTCTTCCTCTCGTTCTTTTCGTACTTTTTCTTCTCTTTCCTTTTCCAACTGCTCCAGCTTCCATCTTTCTATGCGGCGCTTCTTTATTGCTTTGTCAGAGAGATGCTTTGTTTTATCAAAATCCACCTGAAACATTGTTGAATCGATCATTCAGTAAAACTGTTATCAAATATCCTTTGGTAATGTTATACTTTGAAAATAAGAATTAAACAAGTATAGGATGAAATGTTTTACAAACATTTTTCATCAGTAAGGTCAACTAATGGCAAAATATACTCAAAGGATAAAGAAAGGCAAGGTGAACTTTGAAGATGATTCTAGATGTTCAATGTAAGTTCAAAGTAACAACGAAGATAAATCCAAACTGCAAAATCAATGATTTGTATATGGTAAGTGATTTAGGAGTAACTGAAGGGAATTGAAAGAGAATTCTGTAATCTGAAATCGAAATGGACTGATTGTGGGAGCTGCCTAGTCAATACCAGGTATACCCCCCATTAGCTATTCCACAGCCCTGATTCTCCTAGGCATGGAGTTCATGAGTGATTTTATCCTCCTCGTTAGGATGTTGGCCCATTCTTCCAACAAGGCTGCTCTCAATTGGGTCAGAGTAACAGGGGGACGCTGGCTTTGTCAAACATGTCTATCCAGCTGATTCCACAAGTGATCAATTGGGGTTAGGTCAGGGCTGTATGGCAGCCAGTCGAGTGGATGGATATTGCTGTTAGTGAGAAAGTCACGACAGATCCTCGCTACATGAGGCCGAACCACATGCATTGTAACCTAGAGAGTTGCTTGACCGATTTTCATTGTTCTGAACAACGCATTCACAAGATATTGCTAATAATGTCACCCTGCATTTCTTTATCCCTTGAGTATATAAAACACCATCAAAAGTTTTCAAAACATACAAAAATGTTCAGACTTACTACAAGTAATGATTACAAGTCTTTAGTCACTGTATGCTGATACTATGATTACAAGTCAAAGGTTGTTAAGTTATCTGTTGAAGTGGCATGATCTGTACACAATGCCAGGTTACAACTAACTACTGAGGGTATCACAATTATCACATCTTAATTACAATGTATCTATTAATGTTGTTAACTAAATAAATGTATCTAACATATGTTGCCATACTTTGATATTGGCTGTATAGGCTTTGTCATCTTCAGCAATATGGAGTAACTTCATTCCACGAAGACTGTCCATCGCTTTAACAAAGCCAATGTATTCCTTGAATTGCACAAATGCCTCAAATGTCAAATCTTGTCCATATGTAAATGTTTGGATGGCACCAGATTTTGTGGAAGTGGTCATTTCCTTCCGGTATGGGTCAAGCATTGGGATGTCAACACACCTGACCTCACCAAACCCTTCCCAGATACGCTTTAACATTTGTTCACTTGGTTTGTCATTTTCTCGACTCCTATGGGAAGTGAACCAACGGGTTGGTAGATCTTTGAAGTGAATAGTATCTGGTCTTTCACCTGATTTCATTTCGTTCATATTTTTGGCATCTCTAAAGTATGAGTCCCAGTCATGACGTAATGGAAAACTGACCTTAGCCTCCGCTGCTTTGACCTTTAAAATATCAGGAAAACCACTCAGCTTGATAGTCTTTGCATCAAGTCTCTGTATAAGTGTTTTAACCAATGCTTTGGTTTCCGTTTCTCCTTCCAGTCGGATAAACTCAAGAGTACTTTTGATAATCTTCAATGTTAAGAAAGAATGTGGTCTTGCCATATGTTTGACACGCTCCATAACCTCCCAGTTAGAGATAGACTTGCCTGGCTGCTTCAACTGAGGAAGTTGGACACACACATTTAGTTTTGCAAGTGGCTTAAGGTACAAATTCTGGGGTGGAAACAGCTCTATTTTTTCTGATGTATCAGTACACACTTGTGTATTGCTAGCCATTATGTGAACAGGTTTGTCACTGGCTTCACATTCAATTATATTTGGCTGACAACGAAGAGTATTTGTTTTTTTTGTGAATCTAAATCATCCTAACTGAAAAGCTATTTCTTCCATATAACATTCTGGTGATAGATTATCTTTTTTCTCTCTTCTTTTTAAATCCATTTCTTTTCTATGGTATGCTGGTTGCTGATAGCAAGATTCTCATCCTTAAGGACAGCTGGCTTTCTGCATTGAAAAAGAATTCTGAATTACTTCAACAATTCAAATGATTTTGTTTACGATATATACACAGTCATCATGATTGTGTGCAAAAAACACATATAACAGAATTATTGGAATATGTTTCTGTTCTTATTTTTCTGACAATAGTCATATACAGTACACCAGTATATTACTGATACATTGTATGTAATGAATATCCAAATCAATTTTCAATGTGATTATGCCAAGAAGTACAATAAAAATGAAAGTAAAGGGGAAAAAATCCATTGTTCAATTAAGTTCATTCTCATAACACTCATGATAATGTACATTGTATGAAAGTGTATAAAAAAAGGGGTTTTCTGTCTGAAAGAAATATACAGTATTAAATGAAGCTTGAGAATTATAAGTAATGGTTGTGATCCTGTGTGTGGAATATTTCAATTCTACCTGATACATAATTTGTGGTCATTATCGTCAATTTTCTCATTTTTCACACAAGAACTAACAGAAATTAGATTTTACTGAGGTCCTGAAATCATATATTGTTGCATTTATCATGACATTTATATGTAATATTGACCATAAAGCTGCAGATCATGTCGAGTTGTCGAAGTAAGTGAGCACTTTAAACGTAATGTTAAGGAAAAAACGTCGAAAGATGTATATATATATTTGAAGCGATGTTCTAATATAGACAGGATATTGGATTTGAACGATGTAGCCGAATTATGTCAATTGCTGTAATATTGGGTCACACATTATAGTCAGAGATAGATCTAGGGGAGAATGATTTCTTGTGTACCTGTGTACTACACAAGACAGCTCAGTATACATTGTACAGTACATTATAGGAATGGCCAGTTGGAAGAATATCACAGTGGTGTCTGTTAACTTGGTTGTAGGTAAGGTGTAGGTAACCTGTTTTTCCTTCCTTGTTATATGGAGATACAGTTTAGATGTTCAAGCATTTCAACAAGGGAAGTTCTGTTTCTGTGTTTGTGAACTACAATTACTTAAATCTACCCACTATACTACATTTCATGGGTGATGACATAATCACACTTCATTGTGATACGTGTACTGATATCTACACTTAGATGTATTCTGCTTTGACAACAAGTTAAAACTCTTGCCTTGTAACACGTAAATACTTGTAAGTTTATGATTTGACATAACAGGAAACATATTACGCGTATCCGTGTGGAATGACTTTTTACAAGAGATTTGCTGTTTTTTACGAGTCAATATTTAGTCACAGAGAACATAAAATCCGGTTGTTGTATGTTTAAAATATTCCTCACACAAGCATAACTTACACACATCTATAAATATCGAGAGGACTACAATGCATGCTGTTGTCGTAACTGCTGTTTTGTCTTCGTCATCTATCCATACATTTCTCAGTACTGTTTGTACGTCAGAGGCACGTTGCATAAAACAGCCAAAAACGGAGAAAGTCTCACTAAGAGAACTAGCTGTTGGCTTAAATGATATTAATTTACTTTTTTTTCAAAAGCAATTAGACTACTTTATATCTTGGCCTGACAATTATGAAAACATTTTCCGGCAAAGCAGCAAAATATCTTTCAACTACCGGATGTGCCGCTCCACTATATAAGTAGTCGATAAGATACTGTTTGTATAGTTCTGTTAATAAAGGCTTTCAGCTTTATCCTTTAAACCAACTTTTTACATGTCGCACGGCGTATACAGGTTTATTTACAAATTAATATTTTTCATCGATGAACAAAGTACTTATGAAAATATAATGGGTCTTTATCGGCTTTATCTGTCTTTCAAATTGTAAACCGGAAGTGAGGAGTACAACGTGGTTTCAACCGAAAGTAGAAATACGTTGTGTTGTGATATTGGCTTTTGCAATTGGTTGCATCACCATGTCTGAGATAGCTCTACTTACAGCGCGAGCGGAACAATCGGTATGTACATTTTGGAAAACCTACTGATTTCTCTTGAACAATTTCATTTGAATATTTTGGTTTTCTGTAACGTTACATGCACACATGGATTGACTATATACATGTTTATGATATTCTGAATACGATGTCGGTTACCAACAATACGTATACGATTTTCAGCCTAGGATGTCTGGAGTAAGTACTATGTCAATGTATACCAAAGGCTGCAACTAATGTACGTGAACGTGGACATGTACATTTTAGTGACCCTAATTTAACACGATCATTAATTTCATATGTGTGTACATGTTGAACTGTAATTATATAGATCAATTTATACCTAATTTATTATCATTTCAATTTTATTCACGGCGTTATTCTCATACATATCACATGTAACCAGACTAATAATTGATATGAGTTTTTCAACAAAATACGTACATGTATGCAACAGTCATTGAGAACAGATCTAGATAAAACACTAAAATACTGTACATATCATCTGAGCATTGTCCAGACATGGTACATGCATATGCACATATACATATTGCCTGCACACATATGTAGTTTGCATACCAATGAAATATATAATTGCCTTGTATATTCAAAAGTTACATGTACATTTAGGTTACAATTGGTCTCAATATTTTGGATTGGGGAGAGGAGACCTCAACAGGTATTGGTAGAGATCTAATCAGTTAATGGTTAGTTGGGACATCATCAGTTATTGTTGAGTAGGGTCTTTATTATCATTTATTTGACAGGAACAATAAGGAATATTTAAAAATACACCTGGACCTAGATCTGTGACAAGTCAGTCAAATGGTTTGACATTTTTGCTCATTTATACAGTGAGTGATGTACATGAGTGCCAAATTAAAGTTACATGTCTGTGTACAATGTACATGAACTTCTGCCATTGATGTACGTATCTGCCTTATATCCAATGTAAATTTAATAATACTAAGCTTGTTCATTTATCAGTTATTTTTCTTTCTTTTGAGAATAAAGAAGGACTTTGGATATGTTGAAATATTTGTAGGAGTAATGGCTTTAAAGAGAACAGGATGTTTCAGGTGTAAAAGGACCTACACTTTAATTTCCTGATGTTTATGGAGAGACCCTATTTTTGTGGTTAATCTTATATTGATGAAAAAATGAAAATTAAGATATATATGAGGAAACGAAAATTATGAGTATTATTGCTTATTGACCACAGGCATTAGTAAGAATCTCCACTTCCCAGTTATTTTTATCGTCCAGTATGATAGCGTATAAAAAGCTTGTGAGGTATTCTGAAATAAAGACTTTCCAAGGTATTGCAACCCATGGGACATGCATTTGATTAGTATATTTCTTTAGTTTTATACCAGTCAATTATTGTACTTTACAGGAAACAGAAATTAGGCATTTAGAGGAAGAGATTAAATGCCTGCAAGATCCACAGCGTATGTTAGCAGATGGAATTATATCCCCGGAACTAGAAAAACTGAGGACAGAAAACTCCAAGCTAAAATATCAAATCAACCATTTGAAACGGGTAAGAATTTCAAAATGGAAATTTTCACTTACAATTTAGGTAAGACAGAATTGGTAGAATATAAAAATGTTTCAAAATAGGAAGATAAAGTGAAGCCTGTATAAAATTACTATATTGTATTAAATAGTTATGTGCATCATGTTTTGAACTTTGTTATTATGATGTTTATTGAGTTGAAAATTGAATATTGTTTTTATAATCACTTCAATAGATAAAGTTAATTATCTTTAAGGGTTTCATGTTTACATTTGATACACAGAGTGTAGCTGCGGAGAAGAAGAAGAAACCTGAGAACATGCTAAGTATTGGAATCATCATGGAGGAGTTGTTTGGCCTGGCTATACGTCATGCCTACCCAGACCTCAACGACATCCCTGTCATGATACAGGGCAGCTCAAAGTTTGCTGACTATCAGTGTAATAGTGCCATGGTCATATGTGCGGTGAGTTTTACCTTCAAGGAAAAATAAACTCTCTAGTGTTGTCGGGCAAAGTCATTAATCATATTGAAATTATGAATATAGTGGAGATAAAGACTTTTCTGGCATCAAAATATTGTTACTCTCACTAGTTTTATGTAAGGTTAATTAAAACCATGATTGTGTGTACCTGTATCTGTCTTATTTACATATGATATACTAATTGATCTCTCATTTACACATGTGATATATTAATTGATCTGTCATTTACACATGTGATATATTAATTGATTTGTCATTTATAAATATAAACTTTATTTATTTTACAACAATTGCGAAACAAGTTATGTCAACTTATACATGTGATATATTCTTGTTGTCATTTACACGCGCGATATATTAATTGATTTGTCATTTACACATGGGAAATATATTAATTGATTTGTCATTTACACATGTGATATATTCATTGATCTCTCATTTACACATGTGATATATTACCACCCATTTGTCATTTACACATGTGATATATTAATTGATCTGTCATTTACACATGTGATATATTAATTGATTTGTCATTTACACATGTGATATATGAATTGATTTGTCATTTACACATGTGATATATTAATTGATTTGTCATTTACACATGTGATATATTCATTGATCTCTCATTTACACATGTGATATATTAATTGATCTCTCATTTACACATGTGATATACTAATTGATCTGTCATTAACACATGGGATATATTAATTGATCTGTCATTTACACATGTGATATATTAATTGATTTGTCATTTACACATGTGATATATTAATTGATCTGTCATTAACACATGTCATAGATCTATTTATCTGTGTTACTGATATGTTCATTGTATGTTTACTCTTAAATTAGAAATTAAAAGCACAAGGCACAAAGTGTCCTCCAAAGGAAATAGCCCAAAATATTGTATCTCATCTGCCAGAGTCCGAGTACATTTCCACGGTAAGCAACTGAAGAGTACAACAATCAAAAAACATTTCAATAAGAAACTTTAGTTATTAATCAAATTTCAACAGCCTGCAGCAGGTCTTCATTATGAAATAACTGGACACAGAACGCTGTGTCATATAATCACTAAATATTCTGTGACGATTAAGATGATTGCTTGTTATATGATATTACCACTGTCTGTCTTGCCTCTTTAATATTGCAATGTAAGAATTTAAAATTCATTGATGTGTATGTCTTTGTAACTTCATACATTATGTCAATATCAAGAGTAATTTGTGATAAAAAATGATTTTCATTTGAACAGGTGGAAGTTGCACCAAATGGTTTCATCAACATTAACCTCAGCAAAGATTTTGTGTCAAGTCAGATCAGTAGTGTACTCCAAAATGGGCCCACTCCTCCAAACATTGGTCTCAGAAAACGCATCGTGGTAGACTTCTCCTCACCGAATATTGCCAAGGAGATGCATGTGGGACATTTGAGGTACACTGTTCTAATTATACATGTAGATATTGTAAGATATTTGATGTGTGCTGATTCTGTTGATTTATACTGTAATAAATTTTAGGTATTGGTTTACATTTCATATATAGATTATTATGTACATACTTATCATACATGTGATCTGCTGCTACAATGAATATTGATGTTTTAAAAAATTGTGTTTGTTTTTTTTATTTAGAAAATTATACGTACTTTATAATAAACAAATCTCCTCTTTACAGGTCGACCATTATTGGGGAAAGTCTTTGTCGTCTGCTTGAGTGGGTTGGACATGACGTTCTGCGTTTGAATCACTTAGGTGATTGGGGAACACAATTTGGTATGCTAATAGCCCACCTCAAGGACAAGTTTCCTAACTATTTGTCTGTGTCTCCTCCAATCAAGGATCTACAAGAATTCTACAAGGTAAACAACTCTATTTCTTTTGTACGTTTTACAATGTAAAACAACTTACATTGTACATGATGCAAAATTGTATACAGTATATTTTTGTGTAATACAATGAAATTGTGCACTTTTTTTGTATCATTGAAAACAATTGTATATTGTTCAATGCTAAACAACTGTACATTGTAAAACAACTGTACATTGTAAAACAACTGTACATTGTACATGTTTGACTATAGAAAACAATTATACATTGTATCATATAAAACAAATGATTTTGTACAAGTTAAACAATTTTACATTGTACAAAGTAAAAATTTTAACTAACACTACTTTGGATACTGTCGGAACATTATTTCATAAGTCACACCACAAAGAAAAGAAGTTTACCTACAAAGGCTGTGTATTACATTTTAGAGAATGTTTTTTTTATGATTTGGTTAGTAAAACAATAATATATCCTGCAAGTTACTTGTAACAAGTGTATAGACATTTACTGTACACATAAAGCTGTCACATACAGCATATTTAAGGCAATACAGATCCTTACAATTGTACACCTTGAGCAGAAGTCATCCTACTAGTGTTACATGTTGTGTTTATTCCCACGTAGGAGTCAAAGGTGCGTTTTGATGAGGATGAGGAATTTAAAAAGCGAGCCTATGAGGCAGTGGTAAAACTGCAGAATGGTGATGAGGCTCACCGTAAAGGATGGAATCTTATCTGTGATGTTTCCAGGCAAGGTATGTCTCTAGTCACTGTTTATATGATCTATGATGTCTCCAGGCAAGGTATGTCTCTAGTCACTGTTTATATGATATGTGATGTCTTTAAGAAAGGTTTGTCTCTAGTCACTGTTTATATGATCTATGATGTCTCCAGGCAAGGTATGTCTCTAGTCACTGTTTATATGATATGTGATGTCTTTAAGAAATGTCTGTTTATATGATCTATGAGTCACTGTTTATATGTTTATATGTAATGTCTCCAGGCAAGGTATGTCTCTAGTCACTGTTTATATGATATGTGATGTCTCCAGGCAAGGTATGTCTCTAGTCAATGATTTTGTGGTATAAAAAATATTTCTGTAATAAATATTCCTTTGGAAAAAAACTTCCATAGTTGCAAATTTTGTGTAGTATGAAACAAGAACACCACGGTATATATAAAGTTAAAGTGAAATGCTTTGTCCATTTATACACAGCATTTGACTTCCGACCAGATTGTAAAGCTGTTGTCTTATATTTTTTTTCTCTAGTTGTAAATTTTTTTCAAGCTGATCCAGCAAGTGTCCAATCTCAAGCTTTCTTATATAATAAGGCACTACTGTGTAGAAGTTTCTGATTGGCACATTTCAAATGAAAGTAATGAATATGCAAATTTGACTACATGTATTATAATTTTGTTCAAAACACTACTAGTTTGATAGTTTTTAATTAATTTGTTGTACTTCTGGATATAATGCATATGTGTTTCAGAGTTTCAAAAAGTGTATCAACGTCTGGGTGTCTCCATTGTGGAGCGAGGAGAATCTTTTTATCAGCCATTGATGGGGGACATTGTGAAAGAACTTGAAGAAAATGGTACTGTTTTTGTAGTTTATTCATCAGATTAAAAGAAACTATGGCAACAATAGCCTCTTTTGCTGCAACGTGATAATTTTTATTTAATTCCAGCATGGTAGTTTTTAACCTGCTTTGATTTTCATAATGGAAGCCTTTATACTGTAAAATCATCGATTTTCATGAGTCATTTTATTTCTATGTGTACTCTTAATCCATACATTATTTTCACGAACTCTTAAAATAAATATAAGTAGATTTATTGAGCTATATTTATCCAAAAATCCAAGTGTCCACAAAAAAGTTATTTTTTGAAAAAACACAAAAATTGAACCCCATAGAAATAGGATTCAATACCTGTAATTTATACATATATCAAAATACAGTTTTATGAAGCAGTCAATGTTTCTCGAGAAACTGAGAAATACACTGCCTTGCATTGATATGATTGCATCCGTAAAGGCAATTATTGTACCCCAACTGCTGTGCATAAAATGTGACTGGCCTCTAGTATGATGTCCGGTGTGGTAATCACTAAATTCTACTAGGAACCCTGGCTTTCGACAGGATGATTCTATATTTTTTGATATCACAGTATAAGAAACATTGTGTATGTACTAAAATAATGCATGTCTGCTTGTGCATTGACAAATGTTGGTGTTGATATAAATATATCTCTTTGTGGAATGGAGACTAATGCTGTGGATCTAAAGTGTTTGATTTTAATTGTCTCCATGAAATTTTGTAATTGTTTCTCTAATATTTTAAATGTATTTCTGACAGTTATTTACTGGACATTTCAAGAAATTCTACTTGTTATTAACTGGAATTACCAGTGTTAACAATACAGCAGACTTTAGTCTTGTACAGATAGCAAACCAGTACATCATCAGTAATGTGCAATAATATATTCAGATAGTAAATGGACACACATGTGTTTGGACAAGTACTAATGTCAACTGTACTAGAATGCCTAGGGTAATTTTCCTAGATTATATGTGACTGGGATTTCAAGTTGTAGTTAGCTGGCATGTGTATTATATAACTGCAGAAGATAAGAAAGAAATAAACTGAAAATACACAAAAAAATGAATCTACACAAAACCCTGTGATAGATAGGCTTATTTTTAGATTTAAGCAATTTTGATAAGAAATCTTCTTTCATTAAAAAGGACACAATAAAAGAATACCCAGTAGACAGTATGCTGCAATAACAGTGTTATATTATATTTATATTTAAAATGATTCACTATAGTGTTTTTGTTAATGGATGGTTACATCTGACATTTCAGACCACCTGATACTTGAAGAAGGGCGGAAGGTGATGTTTACACCAGGGGCTCCAGCTCCTCTCACTGTTGTTAAGTCTGATGGGGGATTCACCTATGCCACTTCTGACCTCACTGCCATCAAACATCGCCTCCATGTGGAAAAGGGTGACTGGCTCCTCTATGTTGTGGATGCTGGACAGGTACATCATCACCTGATGTCATAAAGATAAAATGTCTTATACACTCTAGATAGTGATTTGTATAGAACCTCCACCACATGGTAGATAGTTACAATTTGTAATACAGTGTAGACAGAGATTTGTATAGAACCTCCACCACAAGGTAGATAGTTACAATTTGTAATACAGTGTAGACAGAGATGTGTATAGAACCTCCACCACAAGGTAGATAGTTACAATTTGTAATACAGTGTAGACAGAGATGTGTATAGAACCTCCACCACAAGGTAGATAGTTACAATTTGTAATACAGTGTAGACAGAGTTTTGTATAGAACCTCCACCACAAGGTAGATAGTTACAATTTGTAATACAGTGTAAACTGCTTTGTATAGAACCTCCACCACATGGTAGATAGTTACAATTTGTAATACAGTGTAGACAGAGTTTTGTATAGAACCTCCACCACAAGGTAGATAGTTACAATTTGTAATACAGTGTAAACTGCTTTGTATAGAACCTCCACCACATGGTAGATAGTTACAATTTGTAAAACAGTGTAAACTGCTTTGTATAGAACCTCCACCACATGGTAGATAGTTACAATTTGTAATACAGTGTAGACAGAGTTTTGTATAGAACCTCCACCACATGGTAGATAGTTACAATTTGTAATACAGTGTAAACTGCTTTGTATAGAACCTCCACCAAATGGTAGATAGTTACAATTTGTAATACAGTGTAGACAGAGTTTTGTATAGAACCTCCACCACATGGTAGATAGTTACTCCACCAAATGGTAGATAGTTACAATTTGTAATGTAAACTGTAAACTGCTTTGTATAGAACCTCCACCACATGGTAGATAGTTACAATTTGTAATACAGTGTAGACAGAGTTTTGTATAGAACCTCCACCACATGGTAGATAGTTACAATTTGTAATACAGTGTAGACAGAGTTTTGTATAGAACCTCCACCACATGGTAGATAGTTACAATTTGTAATACAATGTAGACAGAGTGTTGTATAGACCCAACAATACATAGTAGTTAAAATGTAGTAACAGTTTGTCTATGTTGTATTTTAGAACCTCCACCTTCAGTCCATCTTCGATGCAGGAGTTATGGCAGGCTGGTATGATCCTAAACAAGTGCGTGTGGAGCATGTCATGTTTGGTGTGGTCCTTGGAGAAGACAAGTAAGTATAATTTTGGAGTTGTTTTAATGTTTTATGTTGTAGTTTTTGAGTGAATATTAGTTTAAATTTATGCCTCATTCCAATTCCATATTACTTTGTAAATCTGGCTCTCCACATACCTGTATATAAATCTGTCTTATATAGAATCCAAGGGACCCTTGGTCCACATGTTAGATGTCCCATACTTGAATGACATCTTTCCAATGTCCTAGAGACTCCTAGATCCACATGTTAGATGTCCCATACTTGAATGACATCTTTCCAATGTCCCAGAGACTCCTAGATCCACATGTTAGATGTCCCATACATACCTGATATCATCTTTCCAATGTCCCAGAGACTCCTAGATCCACATGTTAGATGTCCCATACATACCTGATATCATCTTTCCAATGTCCCAGAGACTCCTAGATCCACATGTTAGATGTCCATACATACCTGATATCATCTTTCCAATGTCCCAGAGACTCCTAGATCCACATGTTAGATGTCCCATACTTGAATATCATCTTTCCAATGTCCTAGAGACTCCTAGATCCACATGTTAGATGTCCCATACATACCTGATATCATCTTTCCAATGTCCCAGAGACTCCTAGATCTGAGTGTTAGATGTCCCATACATACCTGATATCATCTTTCCAATGTCCCAGAGACTCCTAGATCCACATGTTAGATGTCCCATACATACCTGATATCATCTTTCCAATGTCCCAGAGACTCCTAGATCCACATGTTAGATGTCCCATACTTGAATATCATCTTTCCAATGTCCTAGAGACTCCTAGATCTGAGTGTTAGATGTCCCATACATACCTGATATCATCTTTCCAATGTCCCAGAGACTCCTAGATCCACATGTTAGATGTCCCATACATACCTGATATCATCTTTCCAATGTCCTAGAGACTCCTAGATCTGAGTGTTAGATGTCCCATACATACCTGATATCATCTTTCCAATGTCCCAGAGACTCCTAGATCCACATGTTAGATGTCCCATACATACCTGATATCATTTTTCTAATGTCCCAGAGACTCCTAGATCCACATGTTAGATGTCCCATACATACCTGATATCATCTTTCCAATGTCCCAGAGACTCCTAGATCCACATGTTAAATGTCCCATACATACCTGATATCATCTTTCCAATGTCCCAGAGACTCCTAGATCCACATGTTAGATGTCCCATACATACCTGATATCATCTTTCCAATGTCCTAGAGACTCCTAGATCCACATGTTAGATGTCCCATACATACCTGATATCATCTTTCCAATGTCCCAGAGACTCCTAGATCCACATGTTAGATGTCCCATACTTGAATATCATCTTTCCAATGTCCTAGAGACTCCTAGATCCACATGTTAGATGTCCCATACATACCTGATATCATCTTTCCAATGTCCCAGAGACTCCTAGATCCACATGTTAGATGTCCCATACATACCTGATATCATCTTTCCAATGTCCCAGAGACTCCTAGATCCACATGTTAGATGTCCCATACATACCTGATATCATCTTTCCAATGTCCCAGAGACTCCTAGATCCACATGTTAGATGTCCCATACATACCTGATATCGTCTTTCCAATGTCCCAGAGACTCCTAGATCCACATGTTAGATGTCTCATACATACCTGATATCATCTTTCCAATGTCCCAGAGACTCCTAGATCCACATGTTAGATGTCCCATACATACCTGATATTGTCTTTCCAATGTCCTAGAGACTCCTAGTTCTGAGTGTTAGATGTCCCTTGTTTGATATCTGGGTTTTTTTTCGGTGTCCACAGGACTGTGAGAGTCAAGTTGTCATATTGGATGTCCCATACTCAAATATTTTTCACAGTCTAAGGGACTCCTAGATTCAAATGTTGGATGTCCAATACTTGTGTTTGGTTCTGTTGTGTACTCCTGTATTAATGGTTGATTGAAAATTTATCACCCCCTGATTCATAGCAAATTATAAGACTTCCTGAGTGACCACTAACTATGTTATCACTTTAACACTGAAGAAAGCACTAGAATGAGGAAGGGATATTCCATAGTATCTGTTATGTTTATCCCCATCACCGGTAAAGAGTACAAACTAAAGGCATGATTTATACACTCTATGCTAAAGATACATAATTTATATATATGATATACAAACTTTCAGCTCTCAACATGTATAAAGAATATAGACTTCATAAACTGTAACAAGATAGATTAAATCTATGTATATAACAATTTACGACGATAGAATAAATAAAATCTATATAACAATTGATAAATATATAATAGATTAAATCTGTGTATATAACAGTTGATAAATGCATGTCTATTAGGTACTGATAAACAGATGTTCTCTGCTTTAGTTATGCTACTCAGAACGAGATTGTATTGTGAAAAAGTAAGAGTATTGTCCCCTTGGACACTTCCAAATCGTTTGTTTGGTAACAGGAAAATAACTGGCAATCCTTCTCTGTGTTTCACATGTTAGAGTCTGTGGTTGCTATGGATACAGCAGGATTTGCTGCAGACTGTGCATCCTTTTACTGAAGAGTCTTTTCCTGTGGTGATGGTGTAGTCTGTTTATAGAAGTGATCTAGTGATAGCCATGTACATATCTCATTCACAATCACAGTCTGTTGTTAACCTGCTTTTATGGCTGGCGTTAAATGAGACAATTTAGAGACACTTTTTATCATAAGAGAAAGAACATCATGTTTGGTAAATAAAACAAGTACATTCCTTTATTGATGGAACTTTTGTGAGACAAGTCTTTATTGATTATTTTTTTATTGTGAGATCATTTTATCACAAGACTTAGCTGCGTGTTGATGATTCTAATATAATAGTTCCGTAGCACATTTTTATATTGGATAATTTTCATGATACAATCCCCAATATACTCATGAATTCTGATGCTGCCAAAAGATGGCGGCCATCTTTCTGGTTGAGACAGAGGAATGACATCAACATTGTAAGAAATTTATTATAATAACATGCTAAAATGTGTCAACTCACTTCAAGTGAGTTTGTTGGTAATGTCTGTACGTTTATAAAGACAATCTTCATTCGAAAGATACGTACTGAAAACTTTAAATGAATTTCCTGTCACAATCTCTTGTCGCTGGCTTTCCATGTACAATGTCCATTGTTTTATCTTCTTTAGTGAATAATACCTTTACCATTCAGAGATTGACATGACAGCTTTCAGGTATATACATTAGAATCAATATAAACTACAATTTAGACAGATAATTGACACAGAGAAATATAGGGAAAACTAATCCAGTGTCTTGACCTAGAACATGATCCGAATCTATCAACAAGTTGACTAGAAAGTGGGCAGGGCTTCTACATCATCAATGCTTAATTTCATTGTCAAAGTAACATGTGAGGGACAGTTTCAAACAAAATTGTGCAAACCTTGAATTTTTGTTGAATTTCTCTGATATTACAATAATTACATCACTTTTAGACTCAAATCATTTTAGAATGGGGATAGTTTCCTCGCTTGTTAATATGTTTAATATGTCTCCTGTGATATCTCCCAACATTGACCAGTTGAATATGTCTCCTGTGATATCTCCCAACATTGACCAGTTGAATATGTCTCCTGTGATATCTCCCAACAGTGACCAGTTGAATATGTCTCCTGTGATATCTCCCAACAGTGACCAGTGGAATATGTCTCCTGTGATATCTCCCAACATTGACCAGTTGAATATGTCTCCTGTGATATCTCCCAACAGTGACCAGTGGAATATGTCTCCTGTGATATCTCCCAACAGTGACCAGTTGAATATGTCTCCTGTGAAATATTTCAGTATCAAATAGTTTAATATGTAACATTGAACTGGTCAATATTGTGAGATTGTACAGGATAAATACTACATACATTAGGTATCTACCTTGAATAACTCAGGTAATTAGCCTACATAATCAGGTATCTACCTTGAATAACTCAGGTAATTAGCCTACATAATCAGGTATCTACCTTGAATAACTCAGGTAATTAGCCTACATACATCAGGTATCTACCTTGAATAACTCAGGTAATTAGCCTACATAATCAGGTATCTACCTTGAATAACTCAGGTAATTAGCCTACATACATCAGGTATCTACCTTGAATAACTCAGGTAATTAGCCTACATACATCAGGTATCTACCTTGAATAACTCAGGTAATTAGCCTACATAATCAGGTATCTACCTTGAATAACTCAGGTAATTAGCCTACATAATCAGGTATCTACCTTGAATAACTCAGGTAATTAGCCTACATAATCAGGTATCTACCTTGAATAACTCAGGTAATTAGCCTACATACATCAGGTATCTACCTTGAATAACTCAGGTAATTAGCCTACATAATCAGGTATCTACCTTGAATAACTCAGGTAATTAGCCTACATAATCAGGTATCTACCTTGAATAACTCAGGTAATTAGCCTACATAATCAGGTATCTACCTTGAATAACTCAGGTAATTAGCCTACATACATCAGGTATCTACCTTGAATAACTCAGGTAATTAGCCTACATAATCAGGTATCTACCTTGAATAACTCAGGTAATTAGCCTACATATAGTAGGTATCTACCTTGAATAACTCAGGTAATTAGCCTACATAATCAGGTATCTACCTTGAATAACTCAGGTAATTAGCCTACATATAATAGGTATCTACCTTGAATAACTCAGGTAATTAGCCTACATAATCAGGTATCTACCTTGAATAACTCAGGTAATTAGCCTACATACCTTGAATAACTCAGGTAATTAGCCTACATACATCCTTGAATAACTCAGGTAATTAGCCTACATAATCAGGTATCTACCTTGAATAACTCAGGTAATTAGCCTACATAATCAGGTATCTACCTTGAATAACTCAGGTAATTAGCCTACATAATCAGGTATCTACCTTGAATAACTCAGGTAATTAGCCTACATAATCAGGTATCTACCTTGAATAACTCAGGTAATTAGCCTACATAAA